GGCATGTGGTTAGTACCCTTAATAATCTGCCTGCATTTTCATTGGTGGAGATTCATAATTTTCTGGTCTATTTTTACTGCAATAACTGGGTCAATCATCTACAAGGCCACCAGGGAACCACTAGATGGAAGAACTCCCAGGTTTGCTTGCTTGTTTGACTGTTTGTTTCACTCGCACTCTCATCTACATATCTCTCTTTCTTCTTTTTTCTCTCTCTTTCTCTCTCTATAAATATAATTAAGTTATAATACATTAACTGTAGACTGAAAGTAATTAATATTTTTGTATTTGAAAAATTTAATGTATTGTTCAGTTGAAGGTTTGTTTACAGAAATTTTTTTTACACAAATTTTATTTTCAAAATCAAACACATTTTTTAGATTAGTGTACAAATGGTTCCTCTTCATATACAAACTCAGCTACGGCCTGGGCATTTTGGGCTATGCAGTCATCATGCTGACGTTGTTTGGCTTCAACTTATTACTGCTCATCCAACCTCAAACGTCTATGGATGCTGGTCTGATGTGTTTGTTTTATGGTCTCTATACTGGAGTCCTCACTAGAGACATTGCTGAAGTCTGTGCTGACAAGATGGCCTTTAAAATTGGTGTTAGTTTGGATGTTGATCTCTGTTTTTCTCTCTTTCTCTCTCCCTGTCTCACTATTTTTTCTGTCTCGTTTCTCTCTCTTTCTCTCTCTGTCTTTGTGACTCTAATTACTTAAATATTGATAATTTTAAATTTTGCAATGCTATTCGCAGTATTACTCCAAAAATGGTCTGCCATCGAGGCAGCTTGAATCAGACGTGTGTGCGGTTTGCGGCAACAGGCTACTAGTCCTCAACAATGAAGATGCAATCATTGAGAAAACATACAAACTCAACTGTGAACACTCGTATGCTTCTTCTATTTTTCTTTTTGTTATTTTTTTTCAGATTGGATGGAAATTATTTCATAGCAAATTTTTATATGCATTCTATGGGTGTTTTTGTTAATATAGTTTTCAGTTTATCCATATTTTTAAAGATCAATTCCAATTTTCAAAATGACTAATTCGAACTACTGATTAAAAATTGGTTCAGGTTTCATAAAAATTTCCCAGAACTATCCAAAATGACATTTTTCTGTGTCGACGCATGGCAAAATCTGCCAGACTCATATTCATATACACCCTGTGCCTACTTAAATTGACCCAAATGTCTCCAAATAAAACAAATCAACAACAAATTTTGTTAAATCAAGAAAAAATCTATGATTCTCAAGTTGCCATGCACTAATTCATCGAATGAAGGTTTCACGAATTCTGCATTCGGGGATGGTGCATAGTGGGGAAGAAACAAACGTGCCCCTACTGCAAGGAGAAGGTTGATCTCAAAAGGATGTTTCCATCTCCGTATGTTCATCCCTTGTTTTCCCGTTTACAAACGAACAAATGAACAAACAAGCAAACACATGAGCACGCAAACAAACTTAAACATAGCAAACAAACAAATGAACAAACACACAGATGGGACAGACCCCACGTTTTGTACGGAAACTTACTTGACTGGGTGAGGTACTTGGTGGCCTGGCAGCCTGTCATCATCATGCTGGTTCAAGGAATCAACTGGCTACTTGGCCTCGAGTAGAACCATTTGATAACAGCATTTTTGACAAATTTATCAATATTTTCTTTTTTTTTTTAAATTTTGCTGATTGATTTAATAATGAAAGTATTGTTGTCAGCGCTAGGCAATTGCTAACAGATTAAGTGTATATAAGTTGCGTTATGAATGTTGTGTTCAAAAATGTTCGTAGCTTTTTGTTTTCTTGGTGGTGACTCATTGATCTATATGTAAATTTTCTTTATAGATTAGTGTGCACAATTGGGTGTATTGGATATTTAAATTTTTTAAGTTTCGCTCATTCATTATTATATTCTATTTGTTAAATATATTATCTAAGCCATGATTAATATTTATTTCATTCATTTATTTTTGCGTTTATTTAATATAATTAAACTATTCTTCATCCGAAATTTTAATAACTTTTTTTCTTGATTTTATTAAAGGTGATTAGAAAATGATTTTAATGTGACTCTTCAATTACATTTTATTAATTGTAACATGATTAAATTGTAAAAGTACACAGAAAAATAAATCCATGTAACCAAAAATAAATCTTCACGCAACAATGTAAATAAAACTATAAACAGATCTTTTATGAATATTTAATACAAAACACCAAAAAGAAAAAAAAATTAAATTTTCTGGTGTTGAGGTGTGTGCCTTCTAACACTGACTAAATACAACAGCACCCCTAATAAAAGAGTTACATGATCAATGATCAATCTCATTTGATTCCAGAAGTCTAGACCTCTTCTCTTGTGCCAGTATGAGATTTGTAAGTCAACCAGAAGAAGTTTAAATGCCACCAGAACTCCTAAAATCACGTGGAAGTCATAAACATGAACGTTTGTGAAAAGGCATAGAGCAACAGTTCCATGCAAGAGCATGTAGATGAACAGTGAGGTGTTGGTGTATGGCACAAATTGTGTAAATGCAGTTTTGTCCTCGGCACTTCTCAAGAGAATGTAACATTGGGTAGCACTGTAAAATGCCATGAGGATACCTGTGAACTTCCAGAGTTTTTGTGGTCGTGGTTTGTCAAAAGAGAAGAAGGAAAACATAAGAAGTGCACTGGCTGCACCTATCAAGCCATGAACCATCCGGAACTGGAAAATAATTTCATGTATTCAATTTTGTATCCTATGAAGTGTATATTATTTTGTAAGAGATCAAATAATTATAAACTACCCACTTTAACCCAGTATCTGTAGTCAAGTGACTGGTTAAAATAAACAATGCCACCGGATGATAATAAAATAGCAGAGGCCAGGGCAGCGCAATACGGTTTGATGGAAGACACACTTGTGCCCACTCCACAGGCAAACAGGAGAAACACAAATGTGTAGATGGCATTAGGAGGAAATGGAGGGTTCCTGAAAATTTAAAAAACCTCATCAATTTAGAGAAATATGGATAGCAATAAAAAAAGCAAAAACTCTAAAATAAAAAGTTTAAAAAAGCACCTGACTGAACAACACAGAAACACAACTCAACCTACTGGTCTTTGTGTGCCCTCTCTGCAATGAACAAAAGAAGTGACAGTGCCTGTGCAAATGGATACCTCGGAATCAGAAATAAAATCACCGATCTCGCATTATTTCTGAAATTTAACTTAGAAAACATCTCGCTTAAAATAAATTTTACAATTAGCTGGTTACGTATTTTTATGAAAAATGAACTTGCCCGATAACTTATGGAGAGCTTTGAAAAATTACTAAATTGGCCACAACATTTAAAACAAGCCGGGCGTTCCGTTTTATGTGGATTGTAGTTTACTTTTAAATTTTAACTTTTCAACATTTTTCAAAAAATATTTATTTTTAATTTAGAATTTTGATTCACCAAATAATTAATTTTGTTGGTTTGATTGTCTGCTAAAAATATCCAAAATGAACGTAGATAACATTGATGATTCTCTTTATAGGTTGGTTTTAAATTCAAATAATTAATTAAAATATTAAAATTACTCAGCTAGCTAACCAGTCATGTCATATGTGGATTTCACTGAAATCAAATTCATATTTTTCAAAATAGTCGTCAGAGATACGTACTTGGGGACCATGCCATGCTTAAACTAGCCTCCGCAGAGGTTTTCCTATTTGGCTTAGGTGCCCTTGGAATTGAAATAGGTTTTGTGGTTATTTTTAGAATATAATTTTCCTTTTTTCAAATCATCACTTTTCAAGATTTTCAACAAAGTTATATATATTGTTTTATGAATAAAGAAAAACAAAAATATGTATTCAAATATTTTGTTTGTTTATTTTCATCTCAAATATTTAACTTTTTATTCAATTCATAATTAAATAAACTCAATCAATCCTTTATTATTTTCAGCTAAAAATTTGGTTTTGGCTGGTGTGAAAGTTAGTTAATTTTTCCTCTTCTACTTTTTGTGGTTAATCTTTCAACTATATTTAAAATTTTATAATTTATATGTTTATGTATGTGTGTGTGTGTATTTGTGTGTGGTGTGTGTGTGTATGTTTGTGTATTTGTGTGTGTTTCTGTGTGACATATGTGTGTGTGTTTGATTGGATTGGAAATTTAAAAAATTGTAATATTTTTATAAATTTGTTCAGACCTTAACATTATGGGACCAGAAGATTGCAACTGTTGAAGACTTAGGTACCCAATTTTTCATCAGGGAAGAAGATGTAGGTATGAAAAAAACTAGGTTTGGGTATAGTTTTTTTCATTTATTTTTTAATTAATTTATATTAAATGTTTTTTCTCATCATTTGTATGTTTGTTTTTCAAATGTAGTTCTAGTTTTATTCATTTTTTTAATTTACCAATTTTTTTAATTATTTTTTTTCACTAATTAATAATTTCCCCACTTAGATCACAGGCCAGCTTGAATAGACTGATCGAGCTGAACGCTTACGTAGATGTCAAACTCTCAGACATCGCTCTTGATAATGATGTTAATGACGTCGACGGTGATGATGATGATGGTGGCAAATTTGAATTCCTGAATTCATATCAGGTCAATAAATTATTATCTATGCAATTGTTTTTATTAAAAATTATGAAAAACAATTGTTTTAAAATTTGGTTCCTTTTGTTAATTTTTCTTTCTAGGTTGAAATGAGAAAATGAATTGAGATTTTAGAAATTGCACTATATAAATACAAATTGATTGATTGATTGATTTATTACTGTATACTTATTCTTTTTACTTATTTTTTAAATTTATCTTACAGTGTGTGATTGTAACAGAGCTCTCATTGGGCATGCAGTTGAAAATTAATAAATTCTGTAGGAGTAGAGATCCTCAAATTAAAGTAAGATTTTTTTTAAAAGTCTTGTTAGTGAAAAACGTTTTCAGAATTTCAGCAAAATTCTATTTTTTCAAATTTAAAAAAAATCAACTTTTATAACTAGTTATTAATTCTGAAGAATTTACAACTTTTTTTCATTACAAATGAAAATTTTTGCTCCCAAGTTCATTGCAGCTGACATATACGGCCTGCTGTGTTGGTCCTTTTGTGACTTCGGTGACTCTTTCGACGTGCTAGACCCAGACGGCGAGGAGCCCAAGGAAGCCTTCATTTCATCAATCACTAAAGTTTGTCAGTCACTAATTTTAGGGAAATTTTTTCAAAAGAGAATAAACCTACCCTAAACAAGAAATTTTATATTTAGATTTTTTTTAAACTAAGCAATGTTATCCAATTAAATGCAACTATAAATTATGATTTAAAATTTTTTCTCCAGTTAGATTTTTTTATTGTCTCCATCACAGTCTAATCCGGGCATTGTGAGTACGATGGAATCGTCAAAACATGGCTTTGAAGATGGTGATACGGTTGAGTTTAGAGAGATGTCATCGATGAGTGCTCTAAATGGCACCATTTGTCAAATAAAAGGTACCTATTTTTTTTTCAATCTCATTTCACTATTATCCACAATTTATATTTATTAAATAATAAACATAAATTGTATTATAACTGACTGTGAGGGAGACAATATTATTTCTTTATATTATAATTAAATTTTTTAATATTTATCCATCGAATTCAGTTATATCTCCAAATAAGTTCTCGATAATAGATACAACTGGGGATGAATATTCATCATTTAGTGGTGGTGGCGTGGTCAAGCAGGTTAAAGTTGTCAAAAATGTGAAATTTGTGAGTTATTTATTCGTTTACCAACTTCATCCGGTTTAATTATTTACTTTTAATATTGTTATTAAATTATTTATTTATATTTTATGCCATTTTTGTTGTTTATTTTGGTAAATAAAATAACTACAAAAAATGCCTGTGTTTTAAATCTTTAAAAAATCTACCTTTAAGGAATCTTTAGAGCGTCAGTTGAAACATCCAACTTATTTGACGGTTGATTTAGGAAAATTTTCGTCACCACTGTCAATACATCTCTCTATGTTGACATTACATGAGTATGCGAAACGGTGCCAGTTACCATCGTTTAGGTGGCTAGTCTGTGTTGTATGTGTGTGTGTGTGTGTGTGTCTGGTCTGTCTGTGTGTGTGTGTGTCTGGTCTGTCTGTGTGTGTGTCTGGTCTCTGTGTGTGTGTATGTGTGTGTGTGTGTACCTGTGTGTGTGTGAGTGTCAAATTTTACAGCAAGTTAGCAAACAAACAAGCAAGCAATTCGTTTTTTAATTTAATTACTCAGTTGATTAGTTAATTAATTATTTATTTATTAACTGTTTTTTTATAAAACTTTGCTACAGAAATGAAGATGATTGTAAAACGTTCATGTCACTAGCTGAAGATATCTGTCTAACTATGCCTTCAATGGTTAATCAGTCATGAGATGAAATGTGTGCGTATGTGTGTGTATGTGTGTGTGTATATGTATGTGTGTGTTAATGAAATATATGCATGAATTAATTAATTTATTTATTTATTAATGTATGTATGAATG